GCTATGGCGAGAGCCACATTTCGAAAGCGACCCGCTCTCCATCTGTTGTCACTCCTTAAGCTTGAGAGTCTTAAATGGTGAGGAAGTCTCAGGCGAAACGCCCGGCCTGCCCTAAAAACTGGTTTCGGGGTGCGACAAGGAGGAGTTATCTACAAGGGGAAGGAATGGAGGAGGAGGAGGAGGAGGACGAGGACGAGGAGGAGGAGGAGTTAAGAGGGAGGGGCCTGTGGTGAGGTTGCACAACCTGGCCTTCCGAGGGTGTCCTTGTCATAGTCGTCGCAATTTATGCTCAGTCCAGGCATCTGTGTTGCTGTCGAGGGTTGAGGCGTGCGAGAACCTAAGCGCTCGAGACTAGTGCGTGGCTGTGATCTGTACTTTAGAGAGAGTGTTGTATCTATATCCTGAGATGTATACACATAGACGTGCTTACATGCACACATACAAAGTAACTGAAGAGTAATCACTTGCGGATATACAACTACGCATCGAGAGCTGTGTCTATATATAGATGCACATACAGCTATATATACATATATATATAACTAGATAGAGACAGAGAGAGAGGGAAAGAGAGAGAGAGAGAAACAAAAACGAGAAATATAGAGACATAGAGGAGCAAACAGAGAAGAAGAGCAACAGAGAGAAAGAGTGAACGAAAGAGGGAGAGAGAGAGAGAGAGAGAGACAAAGATAATGAGAGAGAGAGAGTGATAGTGGAGATACGACATGTTGCAGACAGCCAAGACGAGGTGACACACACGCACACACATATCATACAGTACTGCGGCAAACGAGAGAAGAGGAGAAACCATCCCACCCCGACCCCAGGGTCCCTGCCTTCAGTGTAAAGTGAAGGAGAGAGAGGGGGAGAGAGAGAGAGAGGGATATAGAGAGAGATAGACATAGAGAGCGAACGGCTGAGAGAGAGAGGGAGAGAGAGAACGTTTGCATATTCGGATGTGGAGGGAGGGGGGAGAAGAGGTGTACGAGGAGGAGCAGATGGGATGAGGATGGTGGGCAAGAGGGCGAACCATGAAAAAAGGGGGTTGAGGAGGGAGACGAAGGGAGCGGAGGAAAAGGACGAAGACGGTAGAGACTCCGGAGGATATGTGGAGGAAGAAGATGAGGAGCAGGAGAAGAGACATGATGATGAGGAGCCACAGCAGGTTTTGGAGGACGGGATGAGGATGAAGAAAGTGGTAGTGAGGAGGAGGAGCATGACGAGTATGATGAGGTTAATTCGACTGCTGGGTATGAGCATGATACTGTTGATGCTGCTGCTGATGGTGGTGATGGTGATGATGATGATGGTGGCGATGACGACGACTACCACGACCACACGGTTGACGACGACGATACTGTCGACGACGACGATTGTCATGATGATAGCGATGATGATTTTAATGATGACGAGGATGATGTTGATGTTGCTGATGGTAATGATGCTGGTGGTGGTGATTCTGATGCGGACGATGACCATGACGATCTGCTGATCATGGTGGTGGTGATGATGATGCTAATGATGATGAGGATTCTGATGATGATGATTGACCATGATGATGCTGATGATGACGATCATGCTGATTCTGCTGATGATGATGCTAATGATGCTGGTACCGAATCTGCTTCCAATGACGATGCCGATGATGATTATCAGGAGGATGAGGATGAGGATGCTGCTGCTGATGATGATGCTGATGATGATGATGATGGTGACGACGACGACGACGACCAACCACCACGACCACAACGACGAACATGATGATGGTGATGACGATGATGACGATGCTGATTGTGATGATGGTAGTGGTGGTGGTGGTGGTTGTGATAATATGCTGATGATGCTGATGATGATGATGATGATGATGATGATGGTGGTGGTGATGATGCTGCTGATGATGATGATGCTGATGGTGATGGTGGCGACGATCACCATGATGATACTGATGATGACGATCACTTGTCAGCTCACCCCTTGGCCCTCGACCCGCCCCACGCGTCCCACGCCAAGGGGCGAGCATATATACATATATATATATATATGTATATATACATATATGGGCGCAGCACCGCGCTGGATGAAAGGCCATTGCCTGGGATTATCAGACGAGGACTCAATACTGCATCGCGCGGTGTGGGGGTGCCGGCGCCGAGCGCAAGGCCAAGCCCCTCCTCCCTCCTCATCTTCCGTCCGCCTCCTCCTCTGTCCGTCTACCACCTCCATCCTTTCCAGTCATCCGTCATCCTTGTCCTCCTCCCTCGCCCTCCCTCCCCCACTTCCTGAAACCGCCAGCGAAATATCCTCACCCCCTGGTCAAAAACTGCCAGCGAAATCTCATCATCCCCCTGGCCTACCAGCGAAATATCCTCAGCCCCCTGGCCTCAAACTGCCAGCCAGCGATCTATTCTCACCCCCTGGCGAGAAGCTGCCAGCGAAATATCCTCAGCCACAAGAGATAAACTGCCAGCGAAATATCCTCAAGCCCCTGGCCTAAAACTGCCATCGGAATATCCTCAGGCCCCTCGCCTAAAACTGCCAGCGATCTATCCTCACCCCCTGGCGAGAAACAGCCAGCGAAACATCTTCAGCCACAAGAGATAAACTGCCAGCGAAATATCCTCAAGTCCCTGGCCTAAAACTGCCAGCAGAATATCCTCAGGCCTCCTGGCCCACAGCTGCCAGCGAAGCCTGCTCACCCACCTGGGCCCCCTTGCCTAACACTTCCGTCGAAACACCTTCACTTCCCTGGCCTACAACTGCCATCGAAACATCCTCAGCCCCACTGGCGTAACATTGCAAGCCAAACATCCTCACCCCCCCCTAGCACAGAATTGCCAGCGAAATTTCCTCACGCCTCTTGCGTAAAACTGCCAGCGCAATATCATAACTCCCCTGGCGTATAACTGCCAGCGACCTATCCTCACCCCTCTGGCGTAAAACTGCCAACGAAATATCCCCAGCTCTCTTGCTTAACACTTCCGTCGAACTATCCACCCCCTGGCCTAAGACTGCTAGCGAAATATCCTCACCCCTTCTGGCGTAACATTGCCAGCCAACTATCTTCACCCCCCTGGCTTAAATCTGTCAGCGCAATTTCCTCACGCCTCTGGAGTAACATTGCCAGTCAACTATCCTCATGTTCCTGGCCTAAAACTGCCAGTGACATATCCTCACCCCTCTGGCGTAAAACTGCCAATGCAATTTCCTCACCCCCCTGGCCTAAAACTGCCAGCGAAATATCCTCAACCCCCTTGCCTAATACTTCATAAAAATATCCTCACCCCCATGGCCTAAACCTGCCAGCGAAATATCATCACCCGCCCTTGTGTAATATTGCCAGCCAACTATCATCACCCCCCTGGCATCAACCTGCCAGCGAAACCTCCAGCGAGACTGCCAGCAGAATATGAGAACCCCCCTATCAGGCGTACAACTGCCAGCGATATATCCTCACTTCCCTGTCATCAAGCTGCCAGCAAACTATCCTCATCCACTGGAGATAAAGCTGCCATCGAAATATCCTCATCCTCTGGCCTACAACTGCCAGCGAGATTTCCTTAACCCCCCTGGCCTCCAACTGCCAGCGAACTATCCTCACCCCCCTGACCTAAAACTGCTAGCGACATACCCTCTCCCCAATGGCCTAAAAACTACCAGCGAAAAGTCCTCACGCCCCGGGCGTAAAAATGCCAGCGAAATTCCCTCACGCCCCTGGCCCAAGCCTGCCAGCGTAATATCATGACTTTCCTGGCATAAACTGCCAGTGACACATCCTCACCCCCCTGGCCTAAAACTGCCAGTGAAATCTCCTCAGTCCCCTGGCCTGTCACTTCCGTCGACATATCCTCACCCCCCTGGCCTAAAACTGCCAGCGAAATATCCTTTCCCCCCTGGCGTAAAATTGCCAGCCAAATGTATTTACCCCCCTGGCCTTAATCTGCCAGCGAAATTTCCTCACCCGCCCTAGCGTAAAATCGCCAGCGAAATATCCTCCCCCCCTGGCCTAAAATTGCCAGCGACATATCTTCACTCCCTCGCCTAAAACTGTAATCGAAATACCCTCACCCCTGGCCTAAAACCGCCAGCGAACTATCCTCACCGCCCCTGGCCTCTCACCCCCCCTTGTCCAAAGCTGCCAGCGTAATATCAGAACCCTCCTTTTCCTAAAACTGCCAGCTAAATATCCTCAAGCCCCTGGCCTAGAACTGCCAGCGACATTTCCGCAAGTCACCGGCCTAAAACTGCCAGCCAAATGTCATCACCCCCTGGCGTAAAGCTGCTGGCTACATATCTTCAGCTGTCGGAAATGAAACTGCCATATAACGGCTCGGGTGATTCAGTTCAGTCAGTCAATCGGCTCACGATCTAATGATGATGCCGATTACGATGATTATTTTGCAGATGCTGCTGCTGCTGATGATGATGACTATGATGCTGACGATGGCGATGATGACGATGATGATGACGATGATGCTGCTGCTGATGATGGTGGTGCTGATTTTGATGATGTTGCTGCTGTTGGTGAGGATTGCGATGATGCTGATGATGGTAATGATCATGATGTTGATGACGACGATGACCATGATGATGATATTGATGGTAATAATGATGATGATGATGATATGATGGTGTTCACGATGATGGTGACGATGATGAGGATGCTGAGGACGATGGTGATGATGATGGCGATGAGGACGATGCTGACGATGATGATGATAGTGGTGGTGGTGATGATGATGCTGATGTTGATGATGATGGTGATGCTGATGGTGTTGCTGTTGATGATGATGGTGGTGATGGTGATGACGATGACCATGCTGAGGATTCTGATGATCACGAGGCTGCTTATGATGGTGGTGAGGGCGAGGATGACGATGATGATAGTGGTGGTAATGATGTTGATCATGATACTGACGATGATGATACTGCTGATGATGATGTTGATGGTGACGAGGAGGAGGATAATGAGGAGGATAAGAAGGCGGAGGAGGATCATCGAGGTGCTTGCGCTGGGCCAAGAGAAGTTCTGGAAGATGAGCTCGTTCTTCCGGAAAGTGAAGGCCACGGCCGGGCGGAGCGCGAGCGCCGTACCTGCACCCCAGCCCCTCTTCTTGCTCGTCGCCGTCCTCCAACCCCTCTTCCTCCTCCTTCTCCTCATCCTCTCGGAGGCCGTCGGGGTCGCGACCGCGCCTCGCCGAGCCACGCCACGGACCCTTTCATGCCATTGCGGATTCCTAAGGCTTGGGGTTTGCGTGGCGCTTAACAGTTCAGTGGCGGAAAGTGGGGACAGGGCGGGGGCTTCGGCCTGGGGGAGTCCACAGGGAAAGGGATTGGGAAACTTGTAGCCGCTTTTAGATTCCCCGCCATGTTCTGGGAGTGCCTTGCCCGACGGGTTTCCAATAACATGGTGGGGAGGAGTTCGAGGTAGCGAGGCTGACGTTGAGAGAAAGGTGTTGAGGGAGGTTCGGGGGGGTCTTGGTCGTCGTCGTCGTCGTCGTTGCCGTCTTCGTCCGTGGTCGTCACCGTCGCCGCCCTCAACACCGTCGGCAACCCCGTCTCTGCAGTCGTCGTCACCGTCGCCGTCGCACGCGGCGGCTACACACGACCAGTTTTTTGCTGTTGTTGTTGTCCTCCCCCGCGTTGCCACATGACGGGTTGAGCAGAGTACGAACTGTTTCCGCCCACTTGCGCTGTCACGTGGCCCATGTGAAGTTGTATCGTTTCGCCCCCAGGCGTGGCCACGTGACGAGTACAAAGTATTAGCAGTAGTAGCAGAAGTACTAGCAGAAATAGTCGTAGTCGTAGTCGTAATCGTAGTCGTAGTAGTAGTAGTAGTAGTAGTAGTAGTAAGTAGTAAGTAGTAGTAGTAGTAGTAGTAGTCGTAGTCGAAGTCGTAAGTCGTATTAGTATTTGTAGTAGTAGGCGTCGTCGTTGTCGTCGTAGTAGTAGTAGTAAGTAGTAAGTAGTAGTAGGTCAGTAGTAGTATAGTAGTAGCAGTAGTAGTAATAGTAGTAGTAGTAGTAGTAGTAGTAGAAGTAGTAGTAGTAGTAGTAGTAGTAGTAGTAGTAGTAGTAGTAGTAGTAGTAGTAGTAGTAGTAGTAGTAGTAGTAGTAGTAGTAGTAGTAGTAGTAGTAGTAGTAGTAGTAGTAGTAGTAGTAGTAGTAGTAGTAGTAGTAGTAGTAGTAGTATTAGTAGTAGTAGTAGTAGTAGTAGTAGTAGTAGTAGTAGTAGTAGCGGTAGTAGTACTAGTCGTCGGAGTAGTACTTGTAGTCGTAGTAGTCGTAGTAGCGGCATCAGCAGCAGCAATAGTATCTCTGCCGTGAGGTGCCACGCGGCGAATGTAATTCAATGTGTTGGTTTGTATCTTAGTCGCTGACAGGTGACGGGCGGCCAATCGATTTGTCCCGCCGGAGTTCGAGCAGACCCGATGAACTCCAGGAGTTCTATGGTTTCCAGACGATTCCATTTGTTCTCCTCGAAATTCCTAAGGCTTGTTTGTGTTGCGGTCGAGAATTCAGTGACTGGATAAACGGGGGGCTGCTTCCGTCTAGGGGGTCCAAAAGGAGATCGGTGAGGGAGTTTGAAGCCGCTATTCGATTTCCCACCATGTTCTGGGAGTGTCTGGTCGGACGGATGTTCCAGAACATGACGGGGAAGAGTTTGATGTAGGGAGGTTGACGTTGAGGGTGGAGTGTCCTGGTCGTCGTTGTCGTCGTTGTCGTCGTCGTTGTCGTCCGTCGTCGTCCGTCGTCGTCACCGTCGCCCCCCTCATCGTCGTCGTCGTCGCTCTCGTCACTGACGTCGTCACCGTCGCCGTCGCGCGCGGTGAGTACAGAAACCATTTTCGCTGTTGGTCCTCCCCCTTGTTGCCACTCGACGGGTCGAGCAGAAAACGAGATGTTTCCGCCCACTTGCGCTGCCACGTGGCCAGTGTCGAATTGTATCGTTTCGCCCCTAGGCGTTGTCACGTTTCGAGTGTCGACGCAGACGACACAGACGGTGACGACGCCGACCGACGACGATGACGACGACGACCCACAACGTCGACCGTTTCCTGGGGGCGCGCTTCTGGGTCTCCCGCGGGGGCCCTCCCTCGATTCCCTGGGTCGTCCCCTCTCGGTTCCGTTGGTCGTGCCTCCGCGTTTTGGGCTTAAGTGTCCGGCTTTCACTCAATTGGTTCGTGGCGTATCTTGGCCTTAGCCCAACTGGCGCGTGCACCAGTTTCACTCTTGCGCCCGCTGGCTAAAATGTCTAGTTTCCCTGGGTCGTCCCTCGGGATTCTGGGGCTTGTGCCCGCCAGATCCCTGGGTCGCAGGTCATCACCCTGAATTCGGAGGCGGAGAGCTTCGGGCGGCCTCGCCGGAGCGTCTCGAGGGTGGCCCCGGCCAGGCCAACGACGACAACAGCCGGCCGTTGGTACCGCGCGAGCGCGCCGTGTTGCGCAAGGCGCCGCTCGGATGGGAAGATCTGCACGAACGAAATGGGCACGGAAAAAAATTGTACAATGCCCGACAGCGGACCTTTTTCATTTTGAACAGGACTCGCTGTCCACACCGCCGCGGCCTGTGTCCATTTGAGGCAGAAGGCCGCCTGCCCAACAGCGGTCGCGGTTGGTTTGGGACAACATTTGTTGTTGGGCATTGTACCCATTCTTTCCGTACCCATTTTGGGCGTCCAAAGAAGAGAGGGGGGGGGGACGGGAAGAGGCGCAGCAGTGTGCTGCAGCGAGAGGGGGCAGCAAGAGGGAGTGGCCCCGCCGCGAGCGCGCAGGGATGTGCAGGGGGAGGGGGCGCAGGCAGCTGGAGGGCAGACGGGGGGAGGGCCGACGGCCCAGGGCGGGAAGAGCTGGAGGCGGAGGAGGAGGAGGAGGAGGAGAGGAGGAGGAGAGGAGGAGGAGAGGAGGAGAGGGAAGGGGAGGGGGAGGGGGAGGGGGGGAGGGGAGAGAGGAGGAGGAGGAGGAGGAGGAGGAGAGGAAAAGGAGGAGGAGGAGGGAGGAGAAGGAGGAGGAGGAGGAGGAGGGGGGAGGGGAGGAAGGGACGAGGGAGGCCTGCCAGGGAGATACTCTTGAGCGTTTGTGTGCAAGAACCACAAAAGGAGTGACAAAGCTCAAGTTTTCGAGTAAGATTCTTGGGTTTTTGTGTGATGCACACGAAAGTCTCCAAGCGACGGAACATCACTGACAGGGGGGAGGGAGGGAGGGGTCTCTGGGCACCCCAGAGGTGCTGTCGAGGCTGTCGCCGGCGCAGCGCAAGGAGGACCTCGTGGTGGACGTCGCCGGGCGCCCAGCGGCGACATCGGCGCCAGCGCGCCATGCTCCCCCGCAGCCCGGCACGGCCCCCCTCTCCTCCTCCTCCTCCTCCTCCACCTCCTCCTCCTCCTCCTCCTCCTCCTCCTCCTCCTCCTCCTCCGCGCCGGAACGCCAGCACATCGGCGGCGAGGGTCGATTCGGGGCTCGTCCTGCCGTTGCCGCCGCATCGCCGACGGCTCGGCGATGCGCCGGCACCGCCCACCATACTATAGTGCTATAGGGGCGTCGGCCACGCAAGGGCGACGCGCGTGCCGAGAACTCTTGCAGTACATGCTCCTCCTCCTCCTCCTCCTCCTCCTCCTCCTCCTCCTCCCCTCCTCCTCCCTCCCTCCTCCTCCTCCTCCTCCTCCTCCTCCTCCCCTCCTCCTCCTCCTCCTCCTCCTCCTCCTCCTCCTACCTCCTCCTACCTCCACTCCTCCTCCTCCCTTTCTGGCCACACCGCTCGGGAAGCGATCTATCAAAAGGTGTAGTGCTACGTGTGTTCGGTTCGGACGGGCGCCTTCAGCAGGGGCGCATAGTACTAGTGTGTCCTTCTGGGTTCCAGTGCGGCGTGAGTCTCCGAGCCAACCTGCTTCAGCCCCATCTGCGAGGCCTGCAGTCAGCGGTCCTGCCACCAGAGGCCTTTCGGCGAGAGGCCCTTCGGCCACGGGCGGCACGATTTCCGTGGGATCTTGGCCAAGGCCCCCAGGCCACGGAGGCCTTTCGGCTGCCTGGCAGCTGCATCGAAAGCAGACGTTGCGATTCCGATTCGTATTCGCAGGAGGGTGGCGAGGAGGGGGAGGAGAAGGAGGAGGAGGAAGAGGAGGAGGAGGAGGAGGAGGAGGAGGAGGAGGGAGGAGGAGGAGGAGGAGGGTGAGGATAGGATGGTGATTGTGATGGTGATGGTGATGATGATGATGATGATGATGATGATGATGATGATGATGATGATGATGGTGGTGGTGATGCTGATGATGGTGATGATGATGATGATGATGATGATGATGATGATGATGATGATGATGATCATGATGATGATGCTGCTGATGAATGCTGGTGATGCTGGTGATGATGATGGTGGTGGTAATGTTGCTGATGACGATGCCGATGTTGATGGTTATTATGGTGATGATGGTGATGATGATAATGGTGTTGGTGATCATGATGATACAGATGATGATGATGATGATGATGATGATGATGATGATGATGATGAAGATGATGATGCTGATGATGATGATGATGTTGGTGTTGATGATGATGACGACTTTGATTTTGTTGTGGATGGTAACGATGATGCTGGTGAGCATGGTGATGGTGCTGATGATGACGATGATGGCAGTGGTTGTGAGGATGGCTATGACTATGATGATGTTGATGATGATGATGATGCTGGTGGTGGTACCTAATGATGATGTTGATGATGGCGCCGACGAGCATGATGATGTTGATGGCACTGACGATTTTGACGCGGATTATGATGAGGGTGATCATGGTGATGATGATGGTGATGAGGATGGTGATGATGATGACGATGACGATTACGATGACGATGATGCTGATGCTGCTGATGATGCTGATGATGATGATGCTGGTAATGCTGATGATGAGGACGCTGATTATGATGATGATGGCGATGCTGATTATAATCATTTTTGTTATTCGTATTCATTGTTATTCTGATGGCGATGATGATGATGATGATGATGATGATGATGATGATGATGATGATAATGATGGTGCTGATGGTGCTGGCCATGCTGTTGATGATTATGGTGCTGATGTTGGGGATGATGATGATGATGATGATGATGATGATGATGATGATGGTGATGATGATGATGATGATGAGGATGATGATGATGATGATGATGATGCTGATTATGACGATAATGATGATCATCATGACGAGGAGGAGGAGGAGGATGAGGACGGACGATGATGTTGATGATGATGCTGTAGCTGATGATGATGGTGGTGTTGTTGATGATGATGATGCTGATGATGACGATGATGATGATGATGATGATGATGATGATGATGATGATGATGATGATGATGTTGATGATGATGATGATGATGATGATGATGATGAGGAGGAGGAGGAGGAGGAGGAGGAGGAGGAGGATGATCATGATAATGTTCAACGGTTCTAAGACATGGGAAGAAGCGAGGGCTCATTCCCCTCCCTTCTTCTGAATCTCCACCCTTCCACCGGACGAACACGAGGCCAACGCGGGCCCCTAGGCGAAGCACGACGACCCCCGTGCCCGCGCCGAGACTTGGGGTCCGTGCCTCCAGTCATGAGCCAGGCCACTGCAACACAACACCGCGGACCTGATGGCCCAAGCGGCTCCGCGAGCCTCGGCGCGAGGGGCCCCCCTTGCGCCACTGCGTTGCAGCGGAACGGATGGCGGCGGGCCGCAGCACCAGGCGGCGTCGTAAGGCTGCCGCACGCGGTGCCCGAGGCCACGTTCCGCTGCTGCCCTTCCGCGCCATGGCTCCGCGCTTCGCCACCCGGGCGGCCCGCCGCGCAGCGCGGACGGCCGCGGCGTCCGAGCGAGAACCGCCGAGCTCCGCCTGTGGGGGCGGCCAGCTCCGCGGCCAGCTCTCAGGACCTGGCGCCGTCGGCGGCCTCGAGATCCCCTGCTGGCGGAGGCGCGCCTCCAGCAAGGAGATGGACCCGCGGCGCTCGGCCGCCAGCTCCTCCGCGCCTTCCGCGCACGTGAGCATCGCCAGCTCGTCCCTCGTCTGTTGCAGCCCCGCAATGAGCCACGCCATGGCCTCCTCGTCCACGCGTGCGTCTCGCCGCCGGGTGCCCAGGCCGATCCGCACGTCCGCCGCGCTCTCCTTGTCGTCGAGGCCACTGCTGTTGCTGAAGCTGCCGTCGGCAGCGACATCCATCTCGTGCGAGTCCTCCACCTCGCCCTCCGCGAAGCGCGGCGCCACGAGCACCACCACTTGGCCCTGCAGCTTCTGGTGCCCTCCCCAGGGACCGAGTCGCCGACGCCCGCAGCCGAGGCACCCTCGGCGGCTCGGCGGGGCCCTCACGCCCGACGGCCCCGGCGTGGGCCTTCCCCATCGGGGGCCCCGAGATGAAGCTGGCCATCTCGGGCTCGCCTGCCCTGCGCACGCGGTCGGCGAGGTCATGGCGGTACCCAGCTGGGGGGCTCCGCCCCCGCCGGCAGGCGGCGGCCCATCCGATCGGCACTGCGTCACAGGCCGCACGCGCTGGAGGCTGGCGGTGGTGGTGGGCGGCCCCAGCACTGGCAGCGGGCATCCGGTGCAGCGACGGCGCGGGGCGACGCCGGTGGGAAGGCCGCCGCCTGGGCGCTGCCCTACGAGCTCCGCGCTGCACTGTGTTGGGCTCCTTCTGGCTCATCTTGGCGACCTCGGCCGCCTGCACTCCGAAGTCGTGCGCTGCCGTGCTGCGCCTCCCCGCGACTGGCGGCAGGGTCGCCGGAGGGATGGCCGCGCGGCCCTCCTTCTGCTCCTGCTCCTCCACGTGGGACTCCTCCAGGGCCACTGCGGACCCGGCCCCGAAAGTGGTGCACGGCGCCATGAGCGCCAGTCGCTGCTCGACCTCGGCCTGTACCTTGGCCTCGACTTCGGCAGCGGGAACCCCCACGGGAGCCGAGGGCATGCAGGCCGCCCGCGCGCAGCGCAGGTCGCCCTCCGGCTCCTCCGCGCGGGGCAGGGCCGCCGCCCGGCGCCCCCGCGACCGCCAGCGTCGCGCCGCGCGCCTGCGCTCGCGCCCCGCAGGCCACGCGGGCACGGCGCCCGCCGCGCTCTGCTGCATCGCTGCCGCGGGGGCATCCCTGCAGCCAGCCGCAACCAGCCCCCGAGATGTCATCGCTCTGTCTCCCGCGGGGCCAACACCGAGAGGATGCCAACGAGGACAGGCTTGAGCCCACATGGCTACGGATGATGGTGGTGATGATGATGTTGATGATGATGCTGCTGATGATGATGATGGTGGTGATGGTGGTGGTAATGGTGGTGATGATGACGATAACGAGTGTAATGCTATTATGAATAGTCATATAATAATACTATTTCCAATAATGGTAATAACGATAATGTAATGGTGGTGGTGATGATGATGATGATGATGATGATGATGATGATGGTGGCGGTGATGGTGAAGATGATGCTGATGATGATGCGGATGGTGATGACGATGGTCTTGCCGCTGATGATGATGATGTCGATGATATTGATGATGACGATGCTGGTCATGCTTGTGATGGCGGTGACCATACCGATGTCGTTGCCGATTACGATGATGATGCTGATGCTGACGACGATGATGATGCTGATGATGATGATGAAGTGGCCAATAATGATGCTGATGATGTTTATGCTGGCAATGATGATGATCGGGACGATGCTGATGCTGCTGCTGATGATGATGCAGATGCTATCATGATGATGATGAGTGTGATGATGACGAGGATGAGGATGATGATACTGATGTTGAAGGTGTTGATGATGACGATGATGATTATTTTGCTTTGCTAATGGTGATATCGATGCGGTGGGGATGACGATGATCATGATGTTGATGATGATGCGGATGATGATGACGATGGTGTTGCCGCTGATGGTGATTATGAGGATGCTGATGATTATGATGATGACGATGCTGATGAAGACGATGCTGATGATGCTGGTGATGACGATGACGATGCCGATGCCGATGGCGGTGATGATGATGCTGATGATGATGATCATGGCACTGGTGATGATGATGTTGAGGATGATGATGCTGCTGGTGATGATGATGATGATGATGATGATGATGATGATGATGATGGTGCTGCGGATGGTGCTGCGACTGATGACGATGATAAGAGTGACGATGATGATGATGATGATGATGATGATGATGATGATGATGATGATGATTATGATGATGATGATGATGATGATCATGATGATGATGATGGGTGATGATGATGGTGATGATGATGATTTGGGTAGTGAACGTGATGATGATCAACTAGTGATGCTTATGAAATGGTGCTGATGGGGGTGGCGAGGCTGATGATGTCGATGATGATGCTGATGATGCTGGGGATGGTGACGACGATGATGATGATGATGATGATGATGATGATGATGATGATGATGATGATGATGATGATGATGATGATGGTGATGATGATGATGATGATGATGATGATGACGCCGATGCTGCTGCTGATGATGACGATGATGCTACTGATGATGATGCTGGTGATGCTTATGTAGTGCTGCTGATGCTGGTGGTGGTTTTGGTGATGATGACGATGCTGATTAGGATGAACATACTGCTGCTGATGGTGATGCTGACGATGGTGCTGCTGCTGGTGATGCTGCTGGTAACGATGATGAGGCTGCTGATGATGATGCTGATGATGGTGGTGGTGATGATGATGGTAACGATGACGGGCTGGTGACGCTGATGAAATGGGTAGTAATGGGGCTGGTGGTTATGATGATGATACTGCTGATGGCGAGGATGTTGTTAATGAGGATGATGTTGGTGATGGAAGTGGTGGTGATGGTAATGGTGATGATGGTATCGGTTACGATGGCGCGACTGATGATAATTATGATGATGCTGACCATGATGGTGGTGGTGATGATGTTGATGATGGTGGTAATGACGACGATGATGATGGTGTTGGTGGCGGTGATGATGATGGTGATGATGATTGTGATGGTGATGCGGATGGTGAGGACGATGGTGTTGCCGCTGATGATGATTATGATGATGATGTTGATGATGACGATGCTGGTTATGTTAGTGATGACGGTGACGATGCCGATATCGATGGTGGTGATGGTGATGACGACGATGATGGTGGTGATGTGGATTGTGATGTGAATGACGATGATGATGCTGATGCTTATGAGTAGGATGCTGATGATACTGACGGAGATGACGTTGATGATGATGGTGAGGATTATGCTGTTGCTGCGGATGATGCTGCTGATGATGCTGCTGATGATGACGATGGTGAAGATGATGATGATGATGATGATGATGATGATGATGATGATGATGATGATAATGAGACTGATGATGAACTGGTAGTGCTCGTGACATGATGATGATGGTGGTGGTGATGATGCTGCTTATGATGATGAGAATGATGACGGTGACGATGACGATGATGATTATCATGAAGACGATGATGATGCTGGTGGTGGTGGTGATGGTGCTGATGATGGTGATGATGATGAAGATGCGGATAATGATGATTAGCTGGCGATGCGTGTAAAATGGTGGAGGTGGTGGTGGCGATGATGATGATGATGATGATGATGATGATGATGATGATGATTATGCTGATGCTGCTGATGATGATGGTGATGGCGAACATGACGATGACGATGCTGATGATAAAGATGATGATGCTGGTCATGGTGATGTTGATGCTGCTTCTGCTGACGATGATGATGATGATGATGAGCTTGTAATGAGCTGGTGATGCTTATGACGTGGCGGTGATGGTGGTGGTGGTTGTGGTGGTGATGGTGATGGTGATTATGATAGTGATGATTGTGCTTTTGATGTTGATGATGATGACGGTGCTGCTGATGATGATGATGGTGATGATGAGGATGACGATGACGATGCTGGTGATGATGATGATGATGATGATGATGATGATGATGATGATGATGATGATGATGATGATGATGATGATGATGATGATGATGATGACGATGCTGCTGTTGATGATGATGTTGATGACGATGATGCTGATGTGCTCATGCTGATGATGTTGCCGTTGATGAAGATGATGATGTTGATAATGATGTTGAGCTGGTGGTGCTTGTGAAATGGTGGTGGTGGTGATGATGATGCTTTTGGGGAGGGGTATCAACAATGCTGCATGCAGGTGGTGTCGGCTCCACCGCCATGCAGTTTACCCTCTGTAAGCCTGCTCCTGGCGTCTCCATGCCCTAACCCCCCCTTTGGTCAGGAACTTTGGCTTCGCGTGTCGCGCCGCCGGCTCTGGCCCACCACGCTTCGGCGCGACACGCTAGCTACCTCCCCGTTCCCAAGCGTCAACGTCCCGAGCTTTCCCGAGCCTCCCGCCCCGCGGAGTGGAGAGGAACGCTATCCGCTTGCCAGGCATAGCGTGTCGCCAGGGCCGCCGCCGCGACACGCCATCCAGAAGCCCCTGACCGTACACCCCGAGAGGAAGATGAGGAGAAGGAGGAGGAGGAGGAGGAGGAGGAGGAGAAGGAGGAGGAGGAGGCGGAGGAGGAGGAGGAGGAGGGGGAGGGGGAGGAGGAGGAGGAGGATAATGTTGAGGCGAAGAGGATATTGAAGGGAGGATGGGGCCTCTTTCTGCTGCTGCTGCTGCAGCAGCTCCTCCTCCTCCTTCCCCTCCCTCTCCTCCTGCACGTCACCGTCCTCCTCCATCACCCCCTCTCTACCCTCCAGAAATACCGAGAAGCCTCCGAATACTTCAAAAACCATTGTGGTTCTGTTGGGACAGGAGCTTCCGACGATCTGCAGTGACCTCCTCTCGGCTCCACCCTTCCGACGTCAACGACGACCTCCGAGACCACCTCCGCGACGACCTCGATGACGGCGACGACGACGACAATGACGACGGCGGCGGCGACAACGGCGACGACAACGGCGACGACCTCTGCGACGACGACAAAGACCTCGACCTCGACCTCGATCTCGACCTGGACTTGGACCTGGACCTGGACCTGGACCTCGACCTCGACCTCGACCTCGACGACGGCGACGACGACGATGACGACGACGACGATGACGATCTCCTCCTTGGCCTCCACTTCGACCACGACGGCGCGCTCGCCCTCCCAACGCCGGACGCGCATAGGGCAAGTCCGTGGACCGGCTGCACTACTGCGTGGGCGGCGCCGCCCCATGCGTGGTTCCCAACTCGCGCACGTACAGGGTCAGGCAGGAGAAGGTCCTATCGCCGGAGCGGGGCGCGGGAGAAACGAAGAGCGAATTCCTCCTTCTCCTCTCCTCTCCCGCTCTGGGGGACTCCTCCTCCGCCTCCTGACTCTCAACCTCTCAACGGGCTTCGACTGGTGAGCGTTGCTCAGGTCTCTGATATCTGTCCCCCGTCGTTCCCTCTCACTTCTCTCGCCCGCGTCCTCGTTCTCGCCAGTGCACCGTGGGAGCGACAGCGGTGCTCAGCGGAAAAGCAGGGCAGCGGCGACCGGGACGGCGGGAAGGAGAGGCTCCTCCTCCTGTTCCTCCTCCCCGCTTCCAGCATCCCTACTCGCCCTCCATGTCCCTGCTCGTGTCAGCATCCCTCCTCGTCCCTCCTCGTCCCTCCTCGTCCCTCCTCGTCCTCCTCGTTCTCCTCCTCCTCCTCCTCCTCCTCCTCCTCCTCCTCCTCTTCTCCTCTCCCGCCTCCTCTTCCTCCTCCTCCTCCTCCTCCATCTCCTCCTCCTCCTCCTCCTCCTGCTCCCCCTCCTCCTCCTCCCCCTCCTCTTCCCCTCCCCCCCTCCCCCTCCCCCCCCTCCCCCTCTCTCCTCCTCCTCCTCCTCCTCCTCCTCCTCCTCCTCCTCCTCCTCCTCCTCCTCCCCCTCTTCCCCTCCCCCTCCCCCTCCTCCTCCTCCTCCTCCTCCTCCTCCTCCCTCCTCCTCCTCCTCCTCCTCCTCCTCCTCCTCCCCCTCCTCCTCCTCCTCCTCCTCCTCCTCCTCCCTCCTCCTCCTCCTCCTTTTCCTCCTCCTCCTCCTCCTCCTCCTCCTCCTCCTTCTCCTCCTCCTCCTCCTTCTCCTCAGCGGACACCTCCGGCAGTTTGGGCGGCTTTCTTTACCCACCGCGACAGTGCTGTGCACAGCGGCCGCCTCTCCCAGGAGCAGTGCCACGCGGTGCAGGGGATCTTCAAGTCGGACTTCCCTGCGCTCAAGAGATGGGCGAAGGAGAAGGCCCGGCGGGGGCGGCGAGCCCGATGGGAGGGGCCTCCTCTTTCTCCTGCTCTCTTCCTCCCTCGACCCTCCTCCCGATTGTGTGTGTGTGTGTGCTACTCCTCCTGCGTACTCCTCCCTCCTCCCTCCTCCTCTCTCCTCTCTCCTCCTCCTCCTCCTCCTCCTCCTCCTCCTCCTCCTCCTCCTCCTCCTCCTCCTTCCTCTCCCCCCTCCTCCTCCCCCCCCTCCTCCTCCTCCTCCCTCCTCCCTCCTCCTCCTCCTCCTCATCCTCCTCCTCCTCCTCCTCCTCCTCCTCCTCTCCTCCTCCTCTTCCTCCCTCCTCCTCCTCCTCCTCCTCCTCCTCCTCCTCCTCCTCCTCCTCCTCCTCCTCCTCCTCCTCCTCCCCCTTCGCCTCCTCCTCCTTCTTCTCCTCCTCCTTGTGCCCCTCGAAGCTCGTCCCTTGCGCGACCACCAGAGTTCGAGAAGCCTCGGCGAATTACGCAAGGCCGCACGTGCGAGTGTCAAAGAGCTGGCAGGCAAGCCCAGAACGCCACGCGTGCCGAGAACGCCACACGAGCCGAGAACGCCACACGATCCGATGTCGATCCTGGCCAGCCCGATCCGAGCCAGGTCCGTCAAGCGATCGCAAACATGGATCATCGGGGGCGTGGATTAGCGACGGGTCCCGTTTCCATGGGAAACCGCGGATTTCCGCCGACGAACGAGGCGGCACCGGCCGCATTTTGGGGAGGGCACTTCCCCCGATCCATGGATTTGGAGATCGCGTGCCACATCTATGGATCGCTAATCCATGTTTGCGCGCCCTTCGACGATCCGTTTTTGCCCGCATGCTACCATTCCGCTGTTTTGCAACCTGGCGCTGCCGATCCGCCCCGATTTCTGTTCCGTTCCGGTGCATCCCGATTCGACGTGCACTCCAGTTCGATCCGGTTCCCAATTTCGATGCTGACGGACCCTGCCTCCCTCCTCTCCCGAGCACGGAAAGCTTCGTGCACGATCCGCCACGCTGCAGGTCAGTGGATCAATGTCGGTACTCACGCCCTCTGGACTTTTCCTTGCGGGCCGCTAATAAAGAAAAAAGTAAGTGGATCAATGTGTGTGTGGGCGGAAGTCTTGGTCTGGCTACGTCTATCCGTGGGATGCCAGAGCCAGCGGCTTGCGGGGAATGCGCCGATCTCTGCGGGGTGGCTGGGATCTGTCGCGGTTTGTCGTGCTCCCGGTTGGGCATCTTACAGGGAGCGAGGCCGGCTGGCATGCAGGCGGACCGATGGCTTCTGAGTGAAGGCGCTCGCACGCGCTCTTTTCTCGAAATCAAGTTTTGCATGTCTTGTTTCTCCTCCAATTTCTTGCGCAGAACGGGCTCCCTAGCCTTGCGGGATTTGTCCGTCTGTCTGTCTGTCCGTTCGTCCGTCCGTCCGTCTGTCCGTCTGTCTGTCCGTCTGTCCGTCTGTCCGTCTGTCCGTCTGTCCGTCTGTCTGTCCGTTCGTCCGCCTGTGCGTCTGTGCGTCTGTGCGTCTGTCCGTCCGTCCGTCCGTCGGTCGGTCGGTCGGTCGGTCGGTCGGTCTGTCTGTCTGTCTGTCTGTCTGTCTGTCTGTCTGTCTGCCTGTCTGTCTGTCTGTCTGTCTGTCTGTCTGTCTGTCTGTATGTCTGTATGCCGCCGCTCTCGCCTCTCCGAGTGGCGCCGACGGCAAGGCGTTCTCTCCCCGAGCGCGTGTGCTCGCGCCCCTTCTCGCCTCGCCCCCCCCCCCTCCCCTCCCTGTCGGGCGTTGGGAGAGATCGAGGGTCATGGCTTGATTCTCGATGTCTGGCGACACCCGACAAGAAGGGGAGGGGGGCGGGGGGGGGGGGCCAAACTGACAAAGTCACTTGGGCCCCTAGGTTCCAAAGCTGGCAAACGTCACCTGGACCCTGAATGTCCACGTGACTTGTGCCAGTTTTGGGGCTCCAGAGACTTCTGGAGGCCTCTGGGGGACCGTGGGGACCTCTGGGGGCGTCCAGAAGCTTCCAGAAATCTCTGCATGCCACGAGGAGGGTTCACCAGGCTGAGCCCTCATGGGCGGCATCGGCGTTCACCCTTCTCAAGTGGGGTTGCGGATCTGCCTCGCGATCTCTTCTCACTCGGCTCGTGATGCGCACGGCGCGCGCGCGAGCTAACACCATGCTGAGGTGCTCGTTCTCGTGGGAGCAGAGAAGCTCTGGGATGCCAGGAATCGGCGGCGAGCCCCGGGGGGGAAGTGCGACGGCGAAGGCCTTCTCAGAAGGCTGGGAAGTCCCCCAGGCCTTCCGAGAGGTTTCCTAAGCCTTCCCCGGAGACACCACGACATCTCTCAGAAGGCGCGAGGGCTTCTGAGAAGCCCCGCCGCCTTGGAGACGGCCTTGGCCTCCCCCCCTTCGCTCGCCGCCGCAGGACGGGGGGGTGTTGCCGGAGGTGTCCTTGGCCCAAGGCGTGCCCAGAATCTCCAAGGAGAGGCCCCCGCGGCCTCCCGCTGGGTGCACAGCAGCAGGATGCCTGAGCCCTGGCCGCTGGGGAGCATCATGAGAAAAACAGCGCCTCCGCGGCTCCGGGACGGCAGCGGGAGCCGGTCCAGGCAGCGGGCGGCCACAGGGGGCCGCCACAGTCCACCCGCATAACTAGTAAGGATGGGCAGCTTTCCCAGGGGTGCCCTCGCATCCTCGCCTCCTCGGTCTCTTCTTCGCCACTCTCGCTGGCCGCGCCCCGCCCGAAAACTTCGAAATGGGCGCCCAAGGCCCTTGCATCTGTTATCGTGCCTGCTTATGACACGGGTTGACCGTGCCCGCGGCCTCGAGAGCGCTCCTCGCAGGGCCCAGGGGGCCCCGTTCGGGCTCCGAGGCGGTGCGGGAAGCGGGGGGCACCCTGGGCTGGGGACTCGCAGACGTGAAGGAGGAGCAGAACTCGCAGCAAGCACAACAGAAGTCCGGCGGTCTTGGGGCCCGCTCGGCCCGACTTGGGATGCCCCCATCTGGGGGCTTCTTGGGCCGTCCTGGTGCCATCTTGGAGGCCTCTGGGGCCGCGTTCGGCCGTCGGAAGACTGCTGGCACTCCCCCTATCCTGGTGCCGACGTCATCCAAACATCCTAGCACTGTGTGTGTGTGTGTGTGTGTGTGTGGCCCCGCCTGGGGCGACGCGCGCGCCGACACGCCTTCTTGGTGTACGCTCCGTGGCGGGCGCCTTCTGGCCGTGCAGCTCGGGAAACGATATGCTACAAGATGGTTGTACTAGACGTTCGGGCCGGACGCACGCCTCCGAGGAAGGCGCACAGCACCAGCATGTCCTTGTGCGTCCCGTGGTGCCGCCCGCAGAAGACAGTCACGCGCGACCTTGCGGGCAACGCCTTCTCCACCACCGTCTGCATGGCGGTGGCCCTCGTGGCGCTGTGCCACGGCCCGCTCCCGCGCACAAGCGGCATGAGGCCCGGGGAGAGGGGGGGCCAGGGAGGAGGAGGAGGAGAAGGAGGAGGTGGAGGATGACCAGTGTAAACCTAAGAGTCATGGAGGAGGAGGAGGACCAGTGTAAGCCCAAGAGTCATCAACGATGTTGGAATAAACCCTCCCTTCAAGCTCCCTCTTCACGGGCCCCTGCGAGGATTCAGTTCCACTGAGGGAGCTGCCTCGTTGGAAGACAACCGTTTGAATACCCTGAAGCATGCCAGCAATTTTTCTCGGGACTCTAACGCCATGGATCAACCAGACTGTTGCGTCTTGACGATCCAGAATCGTGCCAGAACGCCATTTCTGGGACTTCAACACCTCGAATCAACGTAGCTGTTGCGCCATCATCACCCTGAGTTTTTCAAACACATTATTTCTGCTACCATGGCCATGGGAATCCATGACACTCGGGCAATCTTTAAAAAAGGAATGTGCACGGCGCTGAAGCGAGAACCGCATTTTGAAAAGGAGCCGCCCTCAATCCGTGAAGTGCTGGCTAGTTTTTGTGACACGAATATGCGCGGCGCTAAGGCGAGAGCCACATTTTGAAAACGACCGGCCCTCCATCTGTGAAGCTCTTGCAATTAAAAAACGAATGTGCGCGGCGCTAAGGCGAGCCACTCTTTGCCTAATTTTGAAATCGACCCGTGCTCCATGAGGGTCATACATGGTGAGGAAGTCCCAGGCGAAACGCCCGGCCCGCCCTTTCGACGGGCTTCGGGGTGCGACAGGGAGAAGTTCTTTGTAAGGAGAAGGATTGGAGGAGGAGAAGGAGAAGGAGGAGGAGGAGGAGGAGGAGGAGGAGGGAGAGGGAGTGGCGCAGGAGGAGGAGGAGGAGGAGAAAGAGGAGGAGAAAGAGGAGGAAGAGGAGGAGGAGGCCACCTCAGACAACTCGCCCAACTGGTGTGCGAGGTCCTGGATTGTGCGCGCCGTGCAGCTTGTGCACGCATGTACAAACGGCCAGACACACAGAGGGACACAACATCTGTCTTACGGGCTTGGGGGGACGGCCCTTTGGGCCTCCTGGGGGCCGATCCAACGTCACTGTGGGCGCCTGGCAGGTCCGCGAGACGTTCGCCAGCCCCCGACATCGATTGGGCTCGTAACCCCAGCATGCGACGAGACGAAAGGGGACGACGGGGAGCGGGAGGTGATGATGACGAGAGGGTGCAAAGGCAGCACACGGAGGCAAGCCGGAGGAACGGCGGAGGGGGTTAAGCACTATCTCAGCACAGTCAGAGGGAGGAGGAGGGAGTGTGTAGCGCTCGGGCGCAGCCTGGAACTCACAGTACAGAGGGAGGGCGACCGGGCCCGCCTCGCGACGTTCGGGTGCGTCGCGGTGGTTAAGCGGGCGACGGCGGAGGAGCACTCAGGGTCGAAGGAGCTACTGTACCAGGAGGCGTCCCCGTCTATGCTCAGTCACCGATCAGCGAACGTGTATCTCAGATCAATGAAGGGGCTGTGCTTTCACCCGATCACCCCAGCAAAACAATGGCGACGACTGAACCTTCCCTGCTTTCAGTGCACGGTGCTCTTGACCTGTCGACGAAAGCAGACGCGACGACTGACCCTGGCAGCTGACCGTCCTTGCAAAACAAGTGAGCGACGATCGAGCATGGACTAGCCTGGATTTTGAAGCCCTTGCCGCCGTATTCTCTTTTCTGAGTGCCTCCAAGCGGGACTCCCACGGACTCGTCATTACTTGCCCTTGCCCTTGTGCGTCCTGTTTTTGTCCAGCAGGCGCTGGTCGAGGGACACCAAGTGGCCGACTTGAGCTGCTTCTATCTGCATGTTGCCTCTCATAGCCTTCCAGGCGCTTCACTGCTTTGTGCTCGATCAGTAGCGTGGTTGTGCTGCATCCGTCTCCACTCCCGGGGGCAATGGGTACGGCCATCCGCGATACTGAGCTGGATCCGCGTGTACTCCTCGTTCTATCACATCTTCTTTCTGCAATTTCGTGTGGCCATCACTGGCTCCTCTTGCCTGTCCCCGCCTCTGCGAGACGCTTGGACGCGGCTCGCGCGAAGTTCAACTGTGATGGGTCCAGCTTGGGGGTTCCGCCTCCGCTAGGCCTGCCGCCGTCGCGTTCGGCCTTCATTCTCGCAACGATGGGGGAAGAAGTCGGTACTCGAAGTTCATACTTCATGACCGAGCGTGTATACTCGTGCAACAACTGCACGGATCGTTTTTTGTTCATTTTTTTTTTTTTTTTTTTTTTTTTTTTTTGTTTTTTTTGTTGTTTGTCATTTTTTGTGTGTAATCTGTTCAAAGGAGATCTAGAGATCCGGATTGGACACTTCGTTGAGCTGTAGGATCATGCTGCTCATGTGCCTGATTGGCAGGCTCATGGGATGCTAGTCTTTTGACGGGGTGCCCTCTTTGTGGGAGTCTTGTGATTCATAAGGGGTGGGGTTTGGGACGGGGAGGGTGCATCACAGCATCGCTGGTGCACTTTGGATCTGCTCCGTTCCTCCTCCCCTTCCTCCTCCATCCGTCTTCCTCACCACTACCTCGTCCCTGTCGCACCCCCAGGCGTGTGGGTCGGGCTGGCCGGGCGATTCGCCTGAGTTTGAAAACAAAAAAATACCCTGAGGCTTGAGACGAGCAACCGTTTCCAGGATGGTTGGCTGGTCGTTTTCAATATGTGGGTCTCGCCCCGGCGCCGCGCACCTTCGCCTTGGGAGGCTGCAGCAGCTCCAGGAACGGAGGGCGGGCCGCTTTCAAACCGTGGCCCTCGCCTGAAAGATGGAGGGCAGGTTGTTTTTAAGGTATGGTTTTCGCCTAAGCGCCCCGCATGCAGCTAAGACGCTGAAGTAAGGAGCCGTTCGGGTTGGGAAGGGGCTCGACGTTCCTTACATTTAGTAGGTCCGTCCATGGCTATTTCTCCAGCGTTCCTCGTCCACGCAGGCGGGTTTGGGGTCAAAGAAGGGGCTTCGATCCTTATTTGGTGTTCTTTCTTTCAGCGGCCCGACTGCATTCGTTTTCAAAGGTTGCGGCTGTTTCGAGCCGTTTTCAAACTGATGCTTTCGCCTGAGCGCCGCGCACACTAGTCTGAAGCGCCTACACCAGTTTTTGAGGATGAAGGGCGTCTCCTTTCCGAACTGTGGCTTTCGCTTCCGCGCCGCTCACATTCAGTTTCTGTTGTTTTTTTGTGTATGCGTGTGTCTGCGTGTTTGTGTGTGTGTGTGTGTGTGTGTGTGTGTGTGTGCGTTTCTTGACCCCCCCTCGGCCGCCTCCTCGCCTCCACCCCCTTCTTGCATGCGGCGACGCCGTGCCCTGGTCTCGCACAGACGCGCGTGCGGATTGCCTTGACCGCGCTGCGACGAAAAAGTGTGTGTGTGTATGTGTGTGTGTGTGTGTGTGCGTGCGTGCGTGCGTGCGTGCGTGCGTGCGTGCGTGCGTGCGCGTGTGTGTGTGTGTGCTCATGCGCGCGCGTGTGTGTGTGTGTGTGTGTGTTTGTGTGTGTGTGTGTGTGTGTGTGTGTGTGTGTGTGCGCTTCATCTTGTCACCACCACCACCAATCTGGATGGCCGCGGCTGGATTCTTTCATCACGGCGCGTTCGATTAAGTTCGCTCGCAATTGGCACCTCCATCTGTCGACCGTACCAAAGGTTCCTCTGCGCCACCGACTTAAAGATGCGTGTGTATGTGTGTGCGCGCGTTTTTGTGTATGCATGTATGTGTGTGTGTGCTAGTGTTGGTGCTTGTGCTTGTAGGTGTTTATCTCCCACATATCGGTCTGATTGTCCTGGCACGATTCAAGGTTGCCAGGACGTAACAGTATTTTCTGCTCTCGGTGTTGACGTCCCATGACCTGCGTTTTGAAACAATTTGAACATGTCAAGGGGCACCAGTCACGTTGATTCGCGGTGTTGGGGTCCAATGAATGATGGTTTGGCACGACATAGTTTTGTCAGGACAACAGTCACGTTGACTCGGCGCGTTGAAGTCGAAGGGATGGAGTTCTGGTGTTGCTGAGGATTCTCGGACGGATGTCTTCTAGTGGGCCATGTCCCACAGTGAAGCTAGTTCCTCGTGGGGATTACGAAGAGGGAACTTGGAGGGAAGGTTTATGGCAACATCGTTGATGCGTCTTGGGTTTGCACTGGTTCTCCTCCTCCTCCTCCTCTTCCTTTTCCTCCTCTTCCTTTCCCTCCACGCCCGCCTCTCAAAGACTTCGGCTTCAGGGGCCGCAGGCCGCCCGCCTAGGCGCCGCGCGAGCTGTGTGCCAGCCTAGCTCGTCGCCTCACTGGGGTTCCCTGCAGCCTTCCTGGCCCCCCACCCGTACCCAATTCTTCCGCAGTGCTTCCCCTCCGCCCCCGTCTTCCCTCGTCAGTGCCCCTCCACAGTGCCCCTTCTCAGTGCCCCCCCTCAGTGCCCCTCCTCAGTGCCCCTCCTCAGTGCCCCTCAGTCCGCCCCCTTCCCCTCCTCAGTGCCCCTCCTTTTCTTCCCCCCCCTCCTCCCCCCCCCCTCCCCTCCCCTCCCCTCCCATCCCATCCCCTCCCCTCCCTTCCCCTCTCCTCCTCCTCCTCCCTCCTCCTCCTCATCCTCCTCCTCCTCCTCCTCCTCCTCCTCCTCCTCCTCCTCCTCCTCCTCCTCCTCCTCCTCCTCCTCCTCCTCCTCCCTCCTCCTCCTCGTCAGTTCCCCCTCTCGTCCACAGTCCCCCGCAGTCCTCCCCAGTCTTCCCCTGATGCACAGCAGCCCCTCCCTGTCGCACCTTCAGACGTGTCGGCTGGGCAGGCCTGGCATTGCGCCTGAGACCCACCGAACGCTTGCGACCCCGAGGCCCGAAACTCACAACAGCTACACGGACGGGAGGGGGGCCGCTTCCAAGGTATAGTTTTCGCCTCGGCGCCGCGCGCCTTCTGCTCAGGCCTCCCCCCCATCCGCGGCGGCGTCGGCTCGAGCGGAGCGTCGCGTGCGGCTGGCCGCCCCGACGGCCGCTGGGGGGGGGGGAGCTCGTCGGGCCGCTGCCCCCCTCGA